AAATACGAGAAACAGAGTATAACAGAGAATAAAGCTACTGTAATAATCATAACCTGCATATCTTTGCCATATCAACTATAAACCCACTTTTGTCCACCCCTGTATTTATTTAGAAATAAAATGATTTGATAATTTATGTTTTGCACCAGTGTAAGCCCTTGTGGACAAAAAACACAATAACTAAAAGAGCCTCGTGATAAAAAATACGTGAAGGAAGTGAGCATAGTCAATTAGTTTACGAAGGAAACATCATCACTTCTGTGGCGTATTTGATAACATAGGGTAAAAAGGCATAATAAGGCATAATCTAGGTATTCCTGTGAAAAAATTAAGTAATAATTTTTTTTTGTTTCTATGAAAACAGCAGCAATCTTTCATGTTCAGTGATTGCAAACTGAATATGGCTATTGAAAAACAGTTGATTATTAAGTTTTAAAGTCCCCTACTTAAGAAATAATTTTAGTAAAACTGAGAGTAAATGTGTTTAGAAATATTAAAGGCACAAAGCAGACTAAAAGCAAATGATAAAGTTCTTACTCTTAGAGAAGATTCATACAGTAATCTGCATTAGCAACTTGTGTCCATAATTTGGTACACTTAGAATTATAGCCTAGAAGGGAGTAAAAAATCAATATAATGACTAAGAAAACCTACGAGTTCAACAGGTAGATGAGTATTATGATATAAAGTTAGGAATGCGGAACTAGATAGCAAATACTTTTTTCTTTCAAGAATACATTTGTATTCTCTCACAGGGTTGTTCCATAGAAACTATTATGTGACTCTTATATAAAATAGGAATTGTTATCAGGCAACTAAACAAAGTTAAAATACAAAGGTAAATGAGACAGATAATCAGCCTAATCTGCAGAAAAGAACTTAGAGCTGTGCTGGTTATCAGGATGGCATTGTTTTTTGGTACCCCAGGAATGCAACATGGTCCCCATGTTCTTAATATGAAACAGATTTTCTATAATGAATGCACTATTAATATCTCTTATCTTTGGGCTTTTGACTTATGATACTTTGCTTTGCAAGATGTCATACTTTCTATAAAGACAATTCCTATGTTAAGTTTAGAGGTGAAAATAGGTGGCATATTATTTTAATTTTCAAGTATGAAATAGAGTAACTGTACTACAATTCAGCAAGCATTTGTTGAGACTCTCCTAACTAGACTCTGAATCAAGAGACCAGAATAAACAAAAGCTAATTTCTTGGCTGGTAGCCTTCACATATTTACTAAGAACATTTAAAAATGAGATCTGAAGTATTTATATGAGAAAAAGGATACTTCCATATTAAATTACATCAGAGATTTACACAAAATGCTTGCTTAAACAAAATATTTTTCATTATGTCTAATAAGTATTCAAATTTTCTAACTCTTGTCTCTTACGATTCTGACACATATACTCTATTTACTAGTAATGTCACCCAAACAAAAAAGACAACCACTATGAAGTCACACATCAAAATAAAAACTCTTAATTTCAGATTGTAATCATTTGTAATGTACAATTCAAATATACTAAATTCCCAGAGTAAATTTTAAAAGCATAATTTCTTTCCTTACAGAATTGTCTTTTTAGTAGATTATAAAAGTTTAGATTTCTAGTACATACATTGCCATCTTACTGGTATACTTGAACAAAACGATAAAAAATCATTCTTTCTTGATCAGGTGCAACACTGGTGCAAACAGTGATATTTTTAGTTAAAACACCTGACAGTAAGGAAAAATTATGAAACTAAAAGGTCTCTGTTTAAAAGAAAATAAGAGTACAGATTCATGTAAATTAGATGTTTTATAATTTTACCTTTAAGAGAACAGTAACAATCGAAGAATCACTTTATTCAAAAAGAACAACTGTAGAAAATAAACATCTTACTGATATTTTTACCCTTTCTTGTTTAATAGCCAGATGCTAATTTTGTAAACTATATCAATAAATACTTATAAAATAAATATATTAGTTTATAGCTCAAGGGAAAAACAAGGTTTATATATCAACCTTCTCTCATTCTTCTCTTTAATAATAATAATTTGAAACTTTTTTTAAAAAAAACTGTTTAAGGCATAATATGTTTTAAAATCTAGCTTCTGAAAACAATTTCACATTCTACAAATCAACAAAATCTGCACTTTACTCAAAATATAATTTTTAATTTTGTAAACTAAGAATTCTAACCCAAACTCTGATTCTATCAGAGCAAAGCAAATATCACAGAGTCTGTTTTCTTATCTTTCAAATGTTGATGGTAGTACATCCTCGAAGCTATAGGAAAGATTAAATAACAGATATAGTGCCGAGTTCAGTATTGAATACATAACAGGTTGTCAATCAATGACAGCTATCACTCTTAAGTCAAAAGCTATCAATCTTTAGTCAAAGACTGGATATCTGCATGCACTCCCTCTTCCTATGTCAAATTATTTTCTATCAACAGTCTTAGATGTGAGGACAGAAATTTTTATATAGTTTCTAAAAATGACATATTCCTTTTGTTCCTTTCCTGGGGAGTCAACAGTTATAATGATAGAATTTCTGATCTTTATTACATAATACCTTGTGGCTACTTGGTCTTAATACTTGATGAAATTCAAGTTCAAGACCATTTTCAAAAATGGGTTCCATGAATAAGTCTGTAGTAGGTCTGAATTTTAATCCAACAATTATGTAATTCTCAATATTTCTTGAATAGGTTCTTTAAAAAATCATAAACTTTTGCTTCCTTTTACTCATCTCTCTTTCTATCAGTATTTCCAGGAAAGGACTGAGCAATCCTCCCCACATAACGGATGACATCACCTACATGCTCTTCAGTTCCTGAACCAATGATCCATTTAGGTAATTCTACTTTCTCTAACACAGAGAGAAAACTGGGCCATTAAAAACAGAACATTATAACAGAATAACTCTTTTTTTTTAAAAATGAACTTGAAATACTCAATTTACCTAGTCTAGTTACTATAAAATAAATCTGCTTACATAGATACTAGAGGCCCAGTGCACAAATTTGTGCACCAGTGGGGTCCCTTGGCCTGGCCTGTGGGATTGGGCCAAAACCTGCTCTCTGACATCCCCTGAGGGCTCCTGGATTGTGAGAGGGTGCAGGCTAGGCCAAGGGACCGCACAGGTGCACAATCAGGGGCGGGGAGGGACTGCCCGAAGGCTCCAGGCTATGTCTGGCCCGACTCCCTCAATCCTGATCGGCCAGACCCCAGCAAGCTAACCTACTGGTCTCAACATCTGCCCCCTGGTGGTCAGTGCATGACATAGCGACTGTTCAACTATCTGCCCACTGGTGGTCAGTGCACATCTGTTGACTGTCTGCTCCCTGGTAGTCAGTGCCCGTCATAGCAAACATTGAGTGGCTTTAGCATATCATTATAGCATATTATTCTTTGATTGTTGAACAGCTGACCAGATGACTAGACACTTAGCATGTTAGGCTTTTATTATATCGGATGTGTGAAAATCAGGTCATCACATGATGTTTCTACCTCTAAACCAGTGTTATCCAAATAAACTTTCTGTTATCATGCAAAATGATTTGTATCTGTGATGCCCAATTAGGTAGTCATTAGCTAAATATGGCTACTGAAAAGTAAGATTAAGGAGCCTAATTTTTAATTTAATTATTAGATTTAAATAGTCACATGTACTATGATAATGGATAACACAGCCTTAGACTTTCCTCTCCTATTCTTGATCTATACCATTGTGAGTCTTATCTAGATGCTCTTATTGAAGTCCCTGTGTTAAATGCTTTCTCTGTTATCTCTAAGATCAAAAGAAAGAGAATTACTATAAAGAATTTTCAAAGCTATCTTTAAAATGTGCTTTTTGATGAAGAGTACTACAATTAATTTTAGATTTTCTAATCAATTTACTAAAAAATTAAATTAAAAATAAATAGCATATACATCTCAGAGTGCTTGAAATGGAAACTTTTAACAATATATACTTTCTCCTAAATTCTTTGTCAGCTACATAATTAGTCCCAGAATAAGATAATGGCATAATTACAAATAAGTACAGTGCAAATCATAGCACAACCAAGCAGAATTAAGGAAAAAATGAAAATCACTCTGTACCTATCTCTTCACTGTGAGAACCCAGAAATGAATTAAGAGAAATATGATAGCTCAAATGCAACAATACAATGTGTATGTTAATGGAGAGTTGTATAATTTTTATGGGTGGTACTATTTACCTCCAAAGATTAAATCTTACCTCAATTTTAAGGGACTTTTGGATGACTACTAATGGTTCTTTTCTTTTTTGTTAATCCTCACCTGAGGATATTTTTCCATTGATTTTTTTAGAGAGTGTGGAAGGGAGAGAGACAGGGAGAAAGAAACATTGCTGTGAAAGAGACATATCAGTGGTTGCCTTTGCACATTCCCTGTTCAGGCCAGGATCAAGCCTGCAAATGAGTTAAATGCCCTTGGCTGGAATTGAACCCAGGACCCTTCAGTTCCCAGGCCGACGCTCTTTCCACTGAGCCAAATCAGCTAGGGCCTAATGGTTCTTTTCAATTAAATCTAAGCATACACATTTGTTTAAAGTAAAATTATTTAAAAGGTGGCCATAAGATCTCAGATTAAAATATTAGGTCTTTAAAGCTCCCTCTGTTTCTCCCCCCTAGTCTCCGCACATATAAACACAGTCATATTTTAAAGAACAAACGTAGGTTTTAAGAAAAACAACTATCTGTTAAAAATGAAATAATGGCCTCTCTCTGGGAATGGTATTAATGTCATCATCACCACCAATCAATTCCTCCTTTCTTCTATGAACTTGGCTTTCAGTACCCTGGGGGTGGGGATATGGGGTAGGAGGATGAAACATGTAAAACAGCCTCAGAATTCAGAGATAGGATTCAAAATATTCAAGTTATATGAATGCAAGTTATGGATAAACTACATATCAGTTTCTGAATGACTGCTGATCTTTTTGTTTGGCATTTTGAATAAACATAATGAAACTTACTATTTTGAGTCAGGGCTTGAAGCAGATAATCCAAGCATCCTTCTAAACTATCCTCAGTTCTGTCAACAGCTGTTATCTTCAGCTTCTTCAAGGCATCACTGAGATTATCTGGTTATCAAAGAAAAAAAAAAGAAATCAGAAATCTTACTATATATTTGGCTATCATATGCTACATAACAAACAGTTAAAATGATAGGCAAAGGGCTCTCATTATAGTGAAGTGACATCCACATACATACCAAAATGGCAGTGGACTATACTACTACAAGTTTATTAAATAAAATTTTATCTAGGTCAAATATGAAGTATTCATTCTGTATATATAAAATATGAATTAGTCCACAAATTGTTGCAGAACATCTTTTCAGCATTCTTTTTTTGAAAATATATATTTTTATTGATTTCAGAGAGGAAGGGAAAGGGAGAGAGAAAGAGATACATCAATGATGAAAGAGAATCATTGATCGGCTGCCTCCGCACAACCCACACTGGGGATCGAGCCCACCCTTGTACAAATTCGTGCACTGGGCCTCTGTCTATAACAATAAATATGCTAATTAGATCAGACAGCTAAATGACTTTCCGGATGTACTTCCAGACGACCTTCTAGATGAAGCTGGGGATGCAGGGCCGAGGCAAGCTGTCGCAGCTGCGAGGACTAAGCCCCTTGCACAAATCTGGTGCATCAGGCCTCTGGTTTGGTTAATAAAACTACAATTCTATTACACATCATCTGCATAATGCATTGTGTTCACCACCTTCTTCCATCACCATATATTTGACCCCCTTTACCTGTTTCTACCTTCCCAACTCCCCTTTCCCTCTGGTAACCACCATACTATTCTGTTTATGAGTTTTTATTTGTCTGTCTTCTTTGTTCATTTGTTGATTTCAGTTTTATATCCAACACTAGAGGCTCAATGCATAAAATCCGTGTACTGGGAGGGGGTCCTCAGCAAAGCCTGTGCCCTCTCGCAGGCTGGGACCCCTCAGGGGATGTCCGCCTACCAGCTTAGGCCTGCTCCCAGCAGGAAGCGTGCCTAAGTTGGCAGTCAGACATTCCTCTCACAGTCTGGGCTCCCTTGCTCCTTAACACCTGCCTGCTCACTATTCCTTACTGCCTGGCTTGTTGCTCCTTAGCACTGCTGCGGAGGTGGGAGAGGCTCCTACCACTGCAGCTGCACTCACCAGCCCTGAGCTCGGCTTCTGGCTGAGCAGCCTGTGGAGCGCACTGACCACCGGGGGAAGCTCCTGCATTGTGCATCTGCCTCCTGGTGGTCAGTGCATGTCATAGCGACCAGTTGTTCTGGTCATTCCACCATAATGGTTCCTTAGACTTTTATTATATAAAAGATATGAGTGAAATCATTTTTTATTGACTTTTCCTATCTGACTTATTTATTTTAGCATGATATTCACAAGATCCATCCATGTTGTTGCAAATGGCAGTAATCATCTTTTCTTACAGCTGAGTAATATCCCATTGTAATATATATGTACCACACTGAAAGGAGTGGCATTTTTTCTACAAATCTACATAATGCCTGTCCTAATGGAAGACAATAGATTCTCATATCTGCTTTTGTATTCAATCTTTTGTAATTTGTTATTTTGGTTGAGTAGATGAAGAAAATCTAGTCTCATCATACATACTAGTATACGTACTAGTTGAAAAACAGAATATGCTAATAGTCTTTTCAGATAATCATGGATCTTCTTTGATACACATCAAAGCATAACAAGTGGTAATTTTTTAAAGGTTAGCTTCCATGTGAAATCTGAAACAATATTAATGAATGTTTCCAACTCTTACATTACAACCCATTGGTTTCTTGCACTTTGAATCATATATGCATACAAGATATTTACCATCATGCATTTGGTCATTAAAAAATTTGGTGAGAGTTATGCCTACCTTTCAAATATTGACACATTTTAATGTACTATTTTAAAATACCACATTTGGTAAAATCACTAATCTTATTAAAAGACTTCTTTAAGTACTGGAACCCTGTCCAGTTCAAGGTGATATAAGTTTTCTAAAATTCTAATTTTTTCTTAAAAACTCCAACTTTATTACTGGCAAAAAATACGGTCAGTTGGATTCCTTAAATGGCCAATTAATCTCATTCATTTGTGAGAAAATATCTGCCAAATAAGAAAAACAAGTTTGTCACTTCCTTCAAATAAATTGTTATTCCATGAAAAAAATACCTTGCTCAGCTCACAATTCAAACAGTTATTCACATGTTTTTCTTCAAATTACCACCAGACTTTGTAATATAATGGAAGTATTTATATGTACTTTCCATCTCATCACATAGGATATTTTTAATTTTACACAAAGGCTGAGATTTTTTAAAAACACTATTTTCCTGCTGCATTATGGACATTCTTAAATGAAACTGGTATTTTTCATTTCAAGAATATGATGGTGAAGAATATCATAACTAGCCCTAGCCAATTTGGCTCAGTGGATAGAGCGACAGCCTGCAGATCAAAGGCTCCTGGGTTCCATTCCGGTTAAGTGCATGTACCTCGTTCATCTGTTGCAGGCCCCCCACCCCCCCGCCACCAAGGCCCTGGATGGGGACCGTGCAGGAGGCAACCAATCAAGGTGATTCTCTCGCATTTTTCCCTTTCTATTCCACTCTCCCTAAAAAATCAATGGAAAATATCCTCAAGTGAGGATTAAAAAAAAAAAAAAAAAAAAGAATATCATAACTACTAATATAGTTTAGTGCTACTACTACCCTGATTCACACAGACTAAAACATCAGCAGTTTTCCCCACAACTGCTTTTGCACCATTGTCAGTGCAAATGTCAACACAGTGAAAAAGACAAACGATGTCTTGATTGTATTATGCAAAGAGTTTTGATCTCATGGACACCCTCATAGGATACTGAGGACCGCCTAGGATGCTACTCTCATATTAAAATTTTAGGCACTTTCTTACTTCAAAGTAAGATATACATTTTGATAGACATTTGTGCATTACCAGCTCATGACAATTCAAAAATATGATGTAATCCTCTATTATGAAATGAGAAATCATTTATTTTCCATGTCAACCCAGGAAAAAGTAGCCTAAAAAAAAGTACATTAAATAACACTAACATCTCTATTGACGCCTAGTTTAACTAGTAACTAATCTAGTAAACCTAAAACAATGCTTTATTAAAATTCCCAAGTTATCATTCACAAAGATTAATATTTATTTTCTTAGAAAAAATGTTTTGAAAAATTGATTTTTTTCTAAAGAAAAAGAAAACTATATATAAAAGTATCCTATCTAATATTAATAAAGAAGGAATATGCTAATTGACCCTCATTCTGTTGCAAAGATGGTAGCACCCACAGCCAATAAGGAGGGAATATGCTAATTGACATCCACGCCCTCAAAGATGGCAGTGCCCACAGCCACAAGATGGCGGCGCCCAGTCCCCTCAATCCCACCAGGGCGACAGGTGAGCAGCAAGCCCAGGCCTGCTCTTCCCCACCCCACCCCCCCCGCCTGGCAGGCCCAGCCATTCCATGCACCTGCCTTAGGAGCCCCCCAGTCCCCTCAGCTCCCCAGCCACCCAGGACTGGCCTGAGGCATAGGCAAGCCTTGGATGGCAGCTGCCCAGCCACCCAGGGCCGGCCTGAGGAGCAGGTAAGCCTCGGATGGCAGCTGCCCAGCAGCCCAGGGCTGGCCCAAAAGTTGTACTGCCAGCAGTGGCACCAACAGAGGTGTGATGGGGCGTCATTTCCCTTGATCGCCGGGTCACCTCCCGCCCCTGAGGGCTCCTGAAAAAATGTCTGGGTTGTGAAACTAAACTTCAGTTTTAGACCTAACAACCCTTTCACACTGATACCTCAACATGGCCGAAAGTCTCTCAGACAACAAAGGAGGGGATGCACAGTTTTAAAACCTAAGGAAGCCATCACAAGTGCTAATGTTGCTAAGGGTGTGAAAGAAACAAGGGCATAGGCAACTGAAGAGGGAGAAAAACTGTTGATATGGATAATTAAAAAGCAGTTAGCCAGTGCCAGCATTCAGAGGCAGCCATATATGAACAAGCAAAGATGCTGCATACTGACCTGAAAGACAGCCCTAACACTAGTGCTGAAAATGGTTTGGTTAAGGCTAGTAGGGGTAGTTCGATGAACTTAAGAAGTTCAGTGTACTGTATGTAAGAAAGGTTAAAACAGGGAATCATCTGTGGGTCTGGAATAGATTTATTCAATAGACATTATTTCTAATGGGGGAAAAAATGATTCGGTTTCCAAACTGCTTCTCGAACAACCTTCTGGAAAAAAATTAAGAGAGAATGGACTTTCCACTTTAATCTGTTTCTTACTGAGACAATGTATCTTTTAAGTTTTATAACTGTTCCAATTATTACTGTTACATAACAAACCACCCATGGCCCTTTCCCCAGGATGCACCCCCCACCTACCCCATTCAGGGGCAGGCCAGCCAGCCCACCACCCTCCCCATGGCTGGTTATGCCCCCAATTGGCCCCCCAATTCCCCAATTGGCCCACCCAACCCCAACTGGGGGCAGAGGCACACCAGCCAATCACTTAAGGCCCTTCCCCTTGATTGGGGGCCCTGTTAGGGCCTTGATTCAGGCAGGCTGGCTGGCCAACCTCCCGTCATCTCCTCCTCCTGACAGGCTCAGCCCAAATCATCTTTGATTGGGGCTGGGCCAGCCAGACCCCACCTGTGCACAAATTCCTGCACTGGGCCTCTCATCTTAAATAAATTTCATACAGATCCCATGCATATTGGAGCTATGCAAAGCAAGGACTACATGTTTCTTGATTTATATAAATGTAAACTCTTCAAGAATGAATTTATAACCCAAACATGTTAGATAGTTGTACTCGCTAATAACTATCTATATAGATCTGAATATGATAAATTTAAAAAAATCACAATGAAATGTACCAGGGAGCACTCTCTGCCCTAGTGTCTCAAGGGTGGTACAGTGCTGAGTACATACTCTACCTTTCGTACTGTGTAACTGTATTAAGTAAGTGAATTCTAGGGAAAATTTTCCAGATCACTGTAATAATAAGCACTTACAAATTTCAGAGAGCTGTACTAGATGCTAAAAA